TTTTCATTCAATAGCTACAATTATATTGTTTTATTCATCAATTTAGAACAAGTTCTTACTAAAATATTGAAACTATGCTTGTTTTCATGCAACAAAACAATAGTCTGACACTGTATTATCGCTCACATTATTTTATTAACTGATGATCAAATCGGCTTTTCTGAAATTAAGTGGGAGTTTCGAGGCTAGTGGCGAGCAAAAATTTGCGCACTAGAGGACAGCCAAATCGAGAACAGCTGTAAGTATGAGAGGAGGTAAGTAATGGTATCAGAATTTCAGGATATTACCGAGATGGCATGCTGAGATAGATGACCTGCAGTGTTCTATTTTAGACTTATAGGCTACCACTGAGATAGATTACTAAAACTATTTTTTTTAGATTTGTATATCATTATAAAAATAATTTGTACTAGCATTTGTCACCATTATAATAATGTTTTGTTTTTTACCTGCAATAGTAATTTCTCAAATACAAAATGAAAAAATAAGACTTGCTCAGAATTTATTGAACATTTCACATTTGTAATTAACCAACCATTATTCCCTTATATAAATCCTAATCCATTTTAACAAGCAAAATGAAAAGCATGGTCTTTTTTACAAACAATAAAACCTTATAGGAATACAGTGCCAAGAATCCTAAATAAATATTAGAGACAGATAATAAAATGAGTTGTTCAAAAGTTTGCTCATGACTAGGAGTAATGTTACAATATTATATAGCATTTAACTATTTCGACATGATTTATTATGACATACAAGTTTATTAATTATGATATGTGGAACAAGATCAATTCAAGCAATCAAAGGATGCAAGATTGAAACCACAGAGATACCAATAGTAGTGAGGAATACAATTGATCCTAATATATATTGTCTTTGAAAACTTGACCAATGGCAGCAACAAACAAATGCTTCATTACTCCTATTTAAAACATGTTTAGAAACTTTGTTTATGGAATTTTAGCTTAATTAATGCAAGCTTTACTATTTTATTAAACAAATTCTGGATAAAAATAACACATTCACTATAGGACAGTTAAACCTAAATAATAATAAATAATTTTTTTTGTCATAAAGGTCCATTACACAAAATGTTGGAAGTATTTTTTATTCACTTATGCTAAGAAATAGTCAACATTATTCATGTTGAATTTTTTATTCTGTAAAATATTGTTTGACAATTGCTTTAAAAATTAATTAATGAATTAATGACACCAAGATGCCAGTTAAATTTGTAGAAATAAAGTTTTTCATAATTGCCACATCCTTTTCTTTTTTCATGCCTATCAAATACTATGTAGGGCCACTTGTGCAATTTCACTCAGTTTAAGGTAATTTGTTCTAATTTGTACATGCGTGCTTTTATATGGGCACTACCATCTTTAAACAACTTTTCTTCAGTATGTTTTTATCATTATATGACAAAAGTTATTGTTTAAAGATGGCATTAGCTATTTTGTCATAAAAATGATTGTTGATGCTAAAGTGTCAAGATCTGGCTTTTGCAATATTTCATCAAAACATTTAAATTTTTTGTGATACAATTACTAACGAATGAACAAGTCAACACTAGTCTTATGTACATCCTACATATGAGTCAGTGAAATTGCAAATTACTCATTAGAGTCAATCGCAATTACCTTACTCAAATATAGACTTGTAGTCATGAGGCCAATAGTGCCTTGTCACGCTGGTAACTGAATAGTTTATAAGGCTCAACCTAAAGTGATGTTAGCAAGATATTCATGTGAAGATTGGTCCTAAGAGGAGAAGGTCCATATCAGGACTACATGACGGTGAAGTAAAACACCTTCAAATAAAGAATGAAAAACTCCTGCTGAAGATGATGTCATTTGTAACAAATGCTATCAACAGCAATGTTATTTTAAATAAAATGCACCTGATGATCCCTCTATAGATGACAGTAAAACTGACAGAAGTAATTCAGGCTACTTTATCCTCCCCATATTTCTTTCTTGTGTGTTTAAGACTGGATATCATGTCAACAAGCAGCAGTCATGATATGTTGTGGTTCCAAAACATACTCAGCTAACTGTCGTAAAAAAACATAAACTCAAGTATTTGTTAGGCATGGAACATTCCTGAAAAAGCCTGGAGCTGGAAATTTTATCTGGACAGAAAACAGTTTGTACTTGAATCGTGTCACAAGATAGATTTAAAGATGAAAGACCGTACCAAATGATAACACATCTGTAGCCACAAAATGATTGGGTGGAATTAATTTTTTATAGGTGTTACAAGCAGCCTGATGGTGAATACTTTTAATTTGAATAGACTAACCAAGTTTCAGTTTGATTACCTGTCTTCCAGAATTTCAACTTTGAGGAATACTAATGTAAAATTTGTAAGAATTGATTTGGAGATTATCCAACAGAATTATGAGTATCTGTTGTACCTAGGATTTGGGCTCAGACACCAAGAACTGATATCAAACCATATACATCTTGCACAACAGCTTTTGAGAGAATTGTAAAGGCCACATATGTATCTGTATTCAGAAAAATGTCAAGTATGGATTTCAAAGGCAATATTACTGTATGCATAAGCCTCAGCAACTTGTCAAACCAATGATGGTTGTATTCACTGGTACAAGATGTGGATCAAGAACTGACAGAATGTTGCATCACCGTTTCACTACAATTACTCATCATATATTCCAAAATTAGGTGAAAATCACTGCAACTGGGTAAAATAAATGATGTGACTGTAGTGATAGAGGAATTATAGATGTATTGGACTTCCTTCATAAACTAAACATGAATAACCAAACGTGAGGTACGAGAAGCATTTTAAGAAAGATTCAATCTTTCAATATCTGTCACAAAAATGGTGATAGGATCATAAAATTGTCACTTAAGACACTGGAAACTACTAGAAATGGTATTTACCAACTGCAGGTTCCTTTTATAGGAAAATATGTGAAAACTGACAGCACTCTTTTAACTGCTATCAGTATGTTTTCATAATAAACACAGAAGATGATTCTGTTATTGCAAGTTGTATGTTCATAATAGTGAAATAACCTTACATGATTTAGCATAGAAAGAAGTAAACGTGAGAAAAGACAGAAGTGTGTGATTCAGCTCTGAACTTTCCACAGTTGTCTGAAGAATGTTTACACTTGAATACACTAAGGGTATGTAGAATTATACTTGGAATTTTCTCTGCATTAAAACACTTTTTACTTTCGAGCTTTAAGGCCCTCTTACTGGAACCTTCATCAGGCAACAATGTATGTTGTTGCCCAATGAAGGCTCTGGTAAGAGGGCCAAAAGCTCACAAATAAAAGTATTTTAACGTTAGAGAAAAGTCTGTGTATAGTTCTACATATTAATTTACCTATATTACGAGTCTTAACCAACAACACTAAGTGTATGGCAGCTGAAGCACAAGGTAACATACACTAAAGAATGTCTACTGAGGATTAACTGTTTGACATAAGGGTAAGCAGTAAAAGGAGCGTCTTTTCTGTGCAAGGATTCAGCAAGACAGTCATAATGACACCTTTGTTAGCCTAGTGTTACCTGCATCACACATCTACCATGGTTTCTGGAACTCAAACATTGTGTAAGAAACACTGATTCGCAAGATATGTCAAACAAATAAATTTAGGATATTGTGATAATCATTGCCAACACTTCTGATGAATCAGAGAAGGGCTGAAAGTGTAATGAACACTTCTGGCAAAATTTGAAGTGTAAAATTTCTTTACAAAAAGATTAAAAGTAATTTTCTGGTTATTTTTTTTTGGGTTTCAAACTTGTGGAATAAGATTAACACTGTATATGTAAATAAAGAGGTTGGAAGGGTGGGCAAAAATACCACCTCATACATCCTTGTTCTTCATTAAACATGTAAAGTCTTAGAAACTGTCAGACAATATACAGACCTTAGTGTATTTAAAGCTGCAATAATACCATTACAATCAGCAGAAATGAATCTGATTGTTTGTCTTATGCTCTACAACTAATTAACATCAATATTTCAACTGACTTAATACACTGAATTCCAACATTGAATTAGTTGAACCTGATTTTCTTCTTTATGGTTTGTTTGTAATTAAGCACAAAGCTACACAATGGGCTATCTGTGCTCCGCTCACCACCTGTATCGAAACCCGGATTCTAGTGTTGTAAGTCCGCAGACATATTGCTGTGCCACTGGGGGGCTGATTTTATTGTAGACATTACAATAAACAATCAGTAGCATTCCAAGTGTATACAGAACTAAACAAAAATAGCTATAAGAATAATCACTCATTTATTAATTATTTCTTCTTATTTAATTAAGAACTCAGCCAAATACTTATCAAACATGAATAACTAAAATATTGCAAATTTAACAAGATTAATTGACATCCATATAACAATATTTCATACTTCATTAAAAATTATTAAGAATACTTTTGTTTTGTTATTCTTGTGTAATAATATTTTATTACATTGAATTTTACATAAACTTTTTATCCAGTCATTAAAACATTTTCCCTCTAGTTTTCTGTATCTCTCCCTCTTTTTTTTTATATTATCATTATTACATATGTTAAGTTAAATATTACTTTACTCTGGCTAAAGTTTTGTGTGTTCCATAAATAATGTATACTAATGACAATATTTTTTCTTTAATGTGATTTTCTTTCATTAACAGTATTGGTTAGACTGTTTAATATATATATTTTTTTATTATGTTTAATTTGCACTGTCAGCTTACTACATGGATGAAAAATCTTGCTCTCCAAGCTCATGAGATATTATCAGGATTATGGCTGAAAATATTGTTAGCAGTGATAGTGCCTAACTGATGAAACAATTTATTCTAAGTTTTATATGTAGGAATGTAGGATTTAATTAGTTATGCTCATTACTGGGTTGATTTTTAGTTATGATCTCTACAGTTAGCTTGTTTTGATTACAAAGTAATTTTCATTACAACCACATTGGAAATTTTAAAAAAGTGATGACATTTTTGACACAAGAACTGCATAAACTTTTATATTAATTATCCACACAGGAAGACATTTCTACAACTGTTACTGACTGGACATATACCTTCATAATTTAGCTACAAGGTCTCCTGTAAATCTATTACATCTTTCACATAAAAATAAAAACAAAGCTCAAATTCTGATCAATAACTTTTTTAATAAATGAGATAATTCTAAAAACAAAAATATTTTAGTAGTAATTCTATGGTTAACATAAAATAAAAAAAAACTGTTAGTTCCTTTTTAGTAGAAAATTATATCCTTTGGAGATGACTTGAAAATACTAACATGTTCCAAATAAAAACATAAAAGGAATGTTTAATTGTAATAATTAACAATAAAATAATGTGAAATGGCTTATTTTAATATTTTTGTTAGTTTTTTGCTTCTATCAGTAACATACAACATTGATGGTTACTAAATTGTACAAGTTTTTAAAATCTCTTATATAAATACATTTCTGATAATTGTTTTTTCACTTTAATTATCATTCTCATTTAATATTGTTATATTAGCACTTAGTTTAACTCACAGTTATGGAAATAATTTAGAATACAATCTTTTTAGAAAGGATCATCCACATAAATGCATAAACTGACTACCACTAACATAGATGGAACTAGTTAAACACAATTAGAGAAGATACACTAAGATAAATGCTAAAGTATTCTTCAGTGTCACTTGTGTATAGTTCTTACTGTCCAAATTACACAATTAATAGCACAATGAATAAACACAAAGCATGGAATATTTATGATAATTATCACTTTCAGAAGAATACTTTCTGGAGTGGACCATTTTTAAATATCTTAAAGGCTGAAGCTAATTATTATGAAAGTCAAAACATTTTGCATAAAATTTCAGTCCAGGAAAATATAATTTGTTTTACAGTGACAGTTTACATGCAGTTCAATATTATTCAAATAATTATAGCAAAACATATTTAACTATCCACAGTATTATTTTCAGACCTTTTTTTTACTTATCACAAGTATCACTGAGCAACAGTGTAATGATATACAACTCTTGCAGGTTAGATTATTTTAAATGTTACCACAGGTTTAGCAGTTCTATGAAATAGTAGTATTGCAATCCCAAGAGTGGGGCAGTATGAAATATTCTGTTCTTGATAATTACTCAGACAAGAAATGAAATATACACACATTATTTATGTTAGTAAACATAAATGTGTAGCTGTTTCACTGACATTTACACACATTACAAATCTTGAATATTTTGATATTAGTGAAAATAAATAATAAATCCTAATATGACTGAGTCTTTTAACTTCAAAAATTACAAATATTTTAAAATTCATTTATTACGAAAAATTTTAATTATAGATATAGTTAGTATTCTTTAAATAGATGTGAACATATTCAAGTCTAAGATATCAATAAAACATCTTTACTAGGAATATAACTAATGTTAGTTATAATAAAGAAGCTATAATAAACATCTTGATCATATTAACTTCAGCTGGCATAAATGTCTATCTATTGAAGCTTTCTATTACATCACATCACTGAAGTGTTAAAAACTACTTATCATATCTGAAAACTGCAAAACAACTGCATGGATCTTTGGTGAAATCAGTTATGTGCTGGTTTGTTAAAATAAAATTAAGTACTACTGTGTTTCAAACAATACATACCAATTTTTGTAGTTTAAACTAAGAAAGCTTAACTGTCCAGCATTTAAGACCATTTATATTAGACTTTGCAACTTGTTCACAGAAGCAAAGGATGTTAGTACTTTCTTGGAATTTGCACCAAGTAAACTGGTTTTAAAATTGATTGTAAGCCTAAAATACAGAAAAAACAGATAAAGGAAGGAAATAAGTCAATATTAAACATTTAGAAACTCAAAATTATTAAACTAACATTTCATCTTAAAGTAACTTTTTTTTGTAGTTTTTAATTAATTTGCCAAACAATTTATATTTTTGTTAACTTTTAACTCACAAATTTAACAGAAACTATGTAGACAATGTTGCTGAACAAACCAAAATCATCATTTGGAGTACTATATCTGTGTTTTATTATAATGACAAACCACCAACATGGAGTGCAAATACACAATAAGTACTTTGTTTCAAAACTTTGCTGAACATGAAGAGGAAACCCGACCAAGAGAGAAATCAATAACATGTGATTGTAACAAAGCCAAACAGAAAAAAAAAAAAAAATTAAGGTTCTCAGACACTATCACGTGTAAGCTTTGTGTTGCTTTACATGAAGAAAGGAAAGAGCATTTTACTACAGTAATCTAATATAACAGGGAATGTTAAGTCAGTGTAACTATGGTACAGTTAAATATGCGATACAGCATATAACATTTATTGATCAGTTTGGCCCAGAAAAGTGTGTCTACTAAGTAAATACAAGCATTGTGAGTTACCAACCTGGAACAGAAAATACTCTGTATGTTAAAACAGCTCTAGTGTTAAGATATGGTTTATTTTTCATAAAAGTCTTAGTTGTTTTACAAAGAACAAAGGTATATTGAAATTCTTTGGCAATGTTTTAATTAAGTATAATGATATTTCACTTCATTAATTCTCAAATCTAACTTATCAAGAAGTCTAAAGAAAAGTATAATAACTGAGAACCTAACTTTTTTTTAAAGAACGCTTAACATACTAGAAAAATATAACAAATGTTAATAACACAAGAGTTTTAACTTTCTTTCCCAGGTTATATACTATAGTCTTATCAAGGACCTGACGTACAGAAATTTACACAAAGTTATCTACTAAAAAAACAAAAGTTTGTATTTTTTTATACAACAATGGTTGGTCTGAAAACTATTTTACCAACTTTAAGCTAAACAGAGAGGCAAATCAATTTACAAAAAAAGCTTATACACAAATATACATAAAAATACTCAAAAGTTGGCATTTGAGAAAAAAACTATGCAAAACAGAATAGGCATAAAAATAACAACATTCAAAGCACCAACTAAAAAAAAGAAGATTAGTTTCAAATTTTATCCCTATATTCTTTGCAACAACCATAACCACAAAAAACAATCAGATATCTCGTACATTAATTTTTTTTATTGATTCTGTTTGTAAAACTATCTTTTGGATAAACATACCATTTCCAGTCTAGTTTCATTGAAAGGAACAATGTTGGCACTAACAAGAGATGAGATTGGGAAAAAATATTTTAACCCTTTGGATGCTATAACCCAACTTGACATTTATCGCCATTTGGTGCGACAAGCAGATTTATCCCACAGTATCGCAACCAAGATACTCGTACGTCTTATCAAGGAATTTTCCGCTTTAGTACTGTACATCACCGAGTAAAAGCACAACTAGTAGATTTTGATAATGAAAATGGTCTAGAAAAATATCAAATTCTAAATTTAATTTTCTAATGGATAACCGACACTTTTCGAGAACCAACCCAAAATTTAATTACGCAATTAAAGGGTTAATAGTTACCCATAACCATTTCAAGATACAGTATGATAATGTTAAAAGAATAATGTCACAAAACTTTATATATATATATTCTTCAACTGTTCAATTTTGAAAGCAAAAATCACAAGTTATTCTATAAAAAATAATGAAGTAATTACCTTACCAATGTCTAGAAAGAGAGAGCATGGAGTTATTTACACATTTGAAAAAGTAATTCATTCTATAAAATTAGGCACACTACACATTATTCACAAAAGCATATTCTTTCAATACACTAAGCTATTAGTAATTTCATACAAGCTAAAAATGTTTATAAATAAAAAACTAATAAAACAATTTTATTAATTTTTTAGATAATTCAAGCTGATTCTGATTATACCTTATAATTTTAAGTATGTTTGGTACTATCTCCATATATATTATCATCACACTTCTAAGTCTTTCCACCAATCTTTTAGACCTTTACAAACAAAACTTTTAATAAACATATACTAACAGTAAAAGTAATAATTCTTAAAAACATCCAATTAGAATATGCTTTGGAACTGCACTAACAAGTTTGATTCAAATGTACAATTTCTGACTCTCAAAATCAACAGCAAGCAAAATATACTCTCAAAACCTTTCACTGAAAGCAGATCAGATCTACGATTAGTCATTACTGTCCTAAAACAGGAATTCCAACATATGCATCAACTTTGCGACAATGTAAAAAAAAAAGCTTAAAGCAGTATCTCAGCACTAACCTATTAACTTTTATCTCTGCAACAACAACAAAAACCAGCTATTAAAAAAGAAGCATGTGGTTGATTTATAAAGATGCAAACTAATACTATTACAATAACTGGAACAATGCAGAATGGTTTTCCAAGTTCATATCACAATGCTTTCAAACAATTTTACAAAAATAGTTGCAGAAAATAGTCTTTACCTCTGTTAACCTATTTAGTTTTTATCATCAGTAGCATACACAATTTTTCTTACAGAATAGCAGTATCGTTAATTTTTATTCTCGCCGATATTGAAGTTATATACGATCTTTTAATCTAATGTTGTTAGCAATATCAGCTTCAACTCATTTTAGAGAGTTCTTGTCTGTGGTTGTCCTATTACATGATTTCAACATTAAAAGACTAGTGTATACAAAAACTAAGTTTGTTGTAGATTAATAAATCTTTGGTAAAATCTAAACAGTCTTTCAGGAAAGGCTTATATTATTTTGCCATTTTCCTGTAGAAGCTACCAAAACTGCAAAACATATGCATAAAAGAAGATTCTCTTTTTTGTTTGCTAATATGATAATTATTATTATTCTGGAAATGATCTGAATCAAACAAAACAAAAACACTCATTATTGGGTAAGATTAGTTTGATCTCCTTTTTACAGAATGGATCTATTGCGTTTTAATTTCTGAAAATTCATTTTTCCTATACCCTTTAGATGGAAAAAATAAGCAATGAGCTAACAGAACAGTTTTGAACCAGTTTCCGCTTGCAGTACTAGCTTAAGTCTTTTATTTACATCAAAAGCATAAATTATTATATAAAAAAAGATTAAATGCCTTACTGGAAAGAAGTGAACTGCTTTAGATAAATTGTTAAGATAAACTGTGAACAGCCTTGGTGAGGGATTTAGAAACCTGTTTCAAATTTAATTTGCTTTTACTTTGAGCTAGTGTACTGTCATCACTTTAGCTGCCAATATCAAAATGTAAAAAAATAGAAATGCACATTATTTTCCTACATAAAAGTTTATAATAATCCACTAAAGTACTATTAATGTATATTTGTTGCTTAAGACAATTTGTTCTCCATTATTTTTAAACAAAATGTTCATTGAATCATAAACTTACTAAAGTTCCACATGACTTGAGACATGGCATGATTTTAAAGTGAAAGAAACTTACTACCCAGGTTGAAACATTTTAAACTTGGATCACCAATTCAATTATCTTGCTAATTTTGAAAACATAAAAAACTACAAAAACTGTACATCTCAGATAAGTGTTTGTTGCTGTTAATTATCCTTATCATCTTATTCAAAGTAATGCTGATAAACTTTTAAAAAGTTTTTTTTTTATTTAACCATCAAGCCATGTTTCACATTTTGTTGTTTTTCCAAGGTTTCAACTACTATCATCATATATATATTTGAGATAACATACTTTTATGTCAAGATTAAAGAGTAAGTACATACACCTAGTTAATGTTCTAGGAAAAAGTATCATACAAAGGAATAAAAAAATATTTTTTTCACATCTGAAGATAATGTATAATGTCAGGTTCAAATAGAAATAGAATCTAATACAAAAATTAACCATAAAACATTCAATAAGCTACATATTACACTTTTATATATTGTTGTTAGTACATAAAACCCATCTTTAAGCTCTCTTTCACTTCAAAAAGTGTGATTTGAGATTGTTCAGCATATAGCTGACTATTTCTATCAAGTTTCATATTCAAAATAAGAAATGTACATGCATCTGACATGAGAGCTAACACTGCTCAAAACTAGTGTTTTCAGCTGGTCACTTCATTAGCTATTGTAAACTAACATGTATGATAATAGAGTACAGAAAGATATGATGTACTTTACCATGAAGTATTTTAGAGAGACAGATAATTTTAATGTATAAACTGTTGCAAGTAAACCTAGTAGTCATGTATAACAAGTTAATACAGTTACTTACACCAGCATGAAATTACAAATGTCAGTTACTGTTAAGCTATTAGTTATCACAAACATAGATAAAAATCTATTATACAATGGTTACATGAAAACCAGTCCAACAAACTAGCAAAATATCAATATTTTGAGCATTTCTTAATGTATTAAGTAACAGGCTCACAGAACTCCTTAAAACTTTGACCAGCAAGGCCACACAAATTTGCCATCACAGCGTCTGTATATAAACAAACTTTCCTGACCACTAACCACTCCCTCATCTTTCACTGTCTGTGGACATTCACCTCCTTCTAGCTTGGTTTCTAGAAATAAACATACAGATGCTGTTTAACACCTTGTGATGCTTCTTTATTTCAAGCCTATAATGAGTTCATTTAACCCCAACCATTTCTCTGTTCAGCTAACTTCAAACGTACTATACAGACTAGATGGTTTTCAGAATATGTATCCTCAAATGTTAATTTAACATCTTGAATTTAACCTATTTCACAATTGAACATTAAAATCAGGCCCATTTATTGAACTCTAAGCTTACACTGAACTTAATAAACATATTTTTGTTATTTTAATTTCACTTGTCACTTTTTTTTTTTAACTCTACAGACTAGTTTACTTGTGTAGTTTGAATTTTTTCCCTCAGACTCTTCAAATATTCATGATAAGGCTCGTTATTCTAAATGTATCAAGTGAATCCAGGCTTAACAATTAACTTATACCAATCACTGATTGAAATGAAAAGTTTAATCAATCATGCTTACTGTTCAAATATAAAATCTAGTAATAATGATTCAAAATATACCACTACAATTTTAATTTCTAATATATTTTATGATTATTAAAAACACCAAGTAAAATACTAAGAGAAACTGAGAAGGTTGACACCAAATCACATTATAATTTCCCCACACGTTTATGATGTATTTGGAAAATATTTACTGGAATAATCAATACTAATATCTGTTGTTGTTGTTTTACTGGTTTGGACACTGTTAGAAACTGATTGAAATGTATTACAAAGACTGGAGGTAGGGCGATGATGGAAAAAAGGGTTATATATGTATATATACATACACACACATGCTAGTCAACAGCACCAACTGCAAATACTTGGAATATTGTTATCTAACTAAATGTTGGGATTTAATATTCACTCTTAGAGCACACCAACAGCCTCAAAGTGCAAGATGTAAACCATGAACGTTGAGGTTCACAGTCCAGGCACACTACACACTGGAACCATAAATGGCCTCATTCCATGCTTTCAAATATTAAAAAACAATTATCTCTTGTGTTTTAACATCTTTAATTCTTATTTTCTAAATATAGATTTTATTAATATGCTCAGAAAGAGAGAATTTGTTAAACAGAGCATTATATAAAGATTAAAGATAAAATCAAATGTTTATGTTTTGCCAGGTAATTTTACTTGTCCATTAGTACGAGATTACAACTTTCTGCACAGACCATAATCAGCCTTACTTAAAAGCAAAATTAATACAAACATGAACACATTTTTCAAAATATAACTAGCCCTTGATATGAATGTAGGTCACACAAGTTCATGTGCACAAACCTTCAGTATGACTCACAATCAAAAACAATAAGCTCAAATGTTATTCACAAACCAAAGTAAAACTTTATAGTTGGACAACATTCTTTTATTTGCAACTTCAGAATTATGTAAAGAAATTAGAATACATTATTTATAATGTCAAACCAAGTAACTTCCAGTTCAGTGTATAGGTTACAAGATAATTATGTTATGATGAAAATATTGGTACTTACCTACTTCTCCAACTAACTTAAATAAGCCATAGTCTTGTGGGTTAGTGACACAGAATTTTGAAGCTGCCATTCTGCCTATAAAAAATAAATCAAAAGTATAACTTGATTTTAAATATTGTTTAGAAAAAAAAAAAAGAAATATAATTATTATAACAGTTTTATAGGAATTCATTCATCTGTTTTTCTGGAGATAATGTTTCTATTTCATGGAAGATATGAGTTAGCAGGTCAAATAACATCTAAACAAGTGTGCAATGTTTATTATATCTATTCACACAAATTACAGTCTTTCACCTAAATATTTTTCTTAACTCCACCAGAACTGGAAGAGTGCACCCTGTACCAAGGGAAAAATTGCTTCATTGCATCAGAAAAAAAATTATAGAAAATAGACTTGTATTCAATTTTTCACACATTAAAAACAAATATTTTAAGACTTGAAACTTATGTAATAAAATAAGTTTTATTTATCTAATTTCATACCTATAATTTTTTCTTAGATTGCAAATTTTGATTTTGGAATGATTTCAACAAGCTCCAAACATAAACATTAGGTGTTTGTGAATTTTATTATATTTTTTTCTTAGAATAACATAACACTCATAACCCGCTATGGGTAAAATTTAAAATAATTTATAGTAAAATAACACTAATCTGACCCTTGTAACTTTAAGACAACTGTAATTTTATCGACTTCAGCCAATCAATGTTTCTCAACATAGCTTCCAGTTAAGCAGAGACTCGTGTAGACTGGAATAAAGTGATAAAATCTTAAATTGGTAATATGTTGTTAGTAGAATTTTCTTTTTTAAAATTTGCTTAACTTTCTCAGCACTGGATTGACCCCTGGGATCAACCTTGTAACCCCTTTTGTGTTTGATATAGTTTTTATGCTATAACTTCTAAATTAGTAAACAATCTGCACAAAATTTTGCAGATTATCAGTAAACACTACAAGGCTTTCATACGCAAAATATCAGATTTCTTTATTAATTTTTAAGATATTTTAAGTAATGTTTTTCTCATGCCTTTTTCTTTTTAAATGTTGACTATTCAACATGCAATGTAATTTTGATTTTAAGATTGGAAATACTCTTATGCATCAGAAATTTTCAAATTTCACATGCAAAATCTTTATAACTTCCAGATAATTATCAAACATTTTTAAAAGAAAAAAATTTATATTTTCACTATTGAATCTTTGTACAGGTTCGGTTGATTTGACCAATCTCATAACCACCATTAAAAATTAAGAAATAAATATAGATTATACTTTTTTTGTTCTAGAATTACCTCAAATAATAACACAAAAACACGGACATTTAGTTTAAATTTTATTATATTGACCTTTCAACTGTGCCTGGCTAGCATTACAGAAGGAGCAATGACGTGCCACATATGCACTCACGCTACCATATCCAAGAATATAAAACTGGTCTTTACAAAGTGACCTGTTTTGGTTGTGTTCTAGTGGACCAGTATTTTGTCAAATACCATCACTTTTTGGTTACAATACATTATATACACATATACATTATTACTATTTAACAAGTTCTTAAATTTCAGTCATTTTTTCTTAAAACATAGAACAGTAAATAAAGAAGTATAGCACACAATTATCTTTTCTAGTTACGAACTTTGTACTCATTTGCCGTAGGATGCTAAGCCTCATCAAATTTTGCATGAGGAGGATGTGAAAGGAAATAATTATTTTTAGATTTAATATATACATTTTGAAATAAAAAAAACCCATAAATTACAATATCAATACCACAGAATTCTACTATAATTTATCAAGCTTAGTAACTAAGCTGTATTTGGGTCTAACAAAATATGAAATTTCGAGCTTATTAATGCCTTACCTTACTGCTCAGAATCTGACATGACAAGAACGAGTTTGCCACAAAAATACTTTAAAGAAGCTGAGAAAGTCACTAGAGGGCCATTTTGAGCTTTCAAGTTGATTTGATAAATATATTAATATCTCAGAAAATAGAAAATATAGGAGGTTCATATTTTATATTCTAGCTTATCAACATCGGTAATTTGAATATCTAATTCATAAGAAACTATGGACATCACAGACATCCAATATGAACCAATGCTGCATTCAACATACCATGTGACACACAAAAATTGATATTTAGGGGTTTTTCTTTTTAATATTTACTATTAAATTAAGAAATTAAATAATGTATAATACTAAAACTAGAATTATAATCTACAGTTTGATACCAAACTTATTGACACACATTCATAAAATAGTAGTTCAATAAAATTTTGAATGTGAGTCAACAAATGTGATGATATGGCCCTTGACCCAAGCACTTTCAAAAGGTGGACCTTTCTTCTTCAGGGGCATAAAAAAATCAAGAAAAAGAAATGTAAAATATTTTATATATAAAAGAATAGAAAATGGGTTTAAACTAAATACATATATTAAATGAAACCTTCTGATTAACAATTTAAGATAAAAGTAGGCTTGCTTATAATTTTGATATAAAAGTTATTTTCATTGTATCATACACCATTAATTGTAAATACTGTTAAAGTGCATGCAGTGTGTTTCTAATTTTAAATAAAGTAAGTTTACAGCTTCATAAAGAGAACTTGGTAAAATATTTTAAATGGATATAGGAATTCATAATAATCCAAGTCTGTGACAGAGGTAAGTATTTCTGATTACTTCTTTAAAAAATATCATAAGGAAATCTTTTTGGATTTTTAAAGCTGCAAATTCATACAAATATCATGTATAATAATAAGAGTCTTAGAAGCTACTTAATTTGCAGAAGTTCATCTAAAGTTTCAAACTATTTTATTTAGTAATTTTCTTTTAAAATACAATAAAACAAGCCATACAACAGGTTTATCACATATACAAAAAATTAAAAATTAATTATTTTAATTATACCATTTGAATCATCTTTATATGGAATATGAATTCATATAAATGCCAAGTGCACTGAGACACACAAACTAAGCCATAATGATGGTTTGTGTATTAGACAGTTATTTACAAAAGTATTTATACAAATCACAACCATTAATACAATACTACTTTCCTTTTTATTTCAGTGTATTTTTATTTATGTATTCTAACATTCTTTAATTTTCAATTTCATTTAAGCAGTACAAAATTGTGAAGATAAAAATTTACTCATAGTCGAGGATGAAGAGATTTTACAGTCTACACCTTACTAACATGTAATCACAATCTACTCCGAACTTTGAAATGCATACAAATGTTTCATTTCAAACAAGCTTTCATGAAAACCATAATTAGAATTAATTCGGCAAATAGAAATAAGTCTGCTTGACTCTTTTTTTCCCCCAAAGCTTTATCTAATAAAATATATGTACTAAGTTTCAGTTGTGATTTTAAGTGTCTTGCAATAATTATGCAAAGTATCATCAAAAACATTTTAAAACTACAGACACTTAGGATATAGTACCATGCTTCACCCCTCTGAAATTTTAGAGACATTGCACATCTTTACCATGTGTGTGGTATTAGTTGCAAACACTGTTCTAAATTACTGCAGCTGGGTGGCACTCATGACAATACTGTAACTACCTCACTACCAGCTTGAATTGCACTTTGAAATGACAAAAGCCAAGGTACATGCAGTTTCAGTTGCAGAGGTCCCCACAGATCTTAGAACATTTGTCAGAGTTTATTGGACAAATCTTATTACTTTGATAATTCTTGAGATCTATATGCCTAAATATAACAAAATCATGCTAATGCAGACCTTATTTCCATGCCTCAACTTTCATAGCAAAATATACAAACATTTAATTCAATAAAATAAAAAGGTTTCTCAATCTTTTTAACCAATTTTTAATCCATTTTAGACTAATTTTTGGTATGTAATCCAGGATTTTATTTTTTTAAACAGAAGTTTATAGTTGATACACTGTCTTGCTTCCTAACCAAATTTTGAATATATTTCAAAATATTCCTTTTTTTTTTAATATTCATTTTTGTACATTATGATTTGGTGTCACCTTAGACAAAATCACCTGAACACAATTTAAACATTTTTCAGTGATTAATTACTGAAAAATGGGTTTTACAAATTTTAAAATGTAAATGGAATGATTCATACTGATTTAGTAATATGTAAAGAAACAAAAGCATTAAGTTCAGTATGAAAACTTAAAGATTTGAAAAGCAAATCCACACAATTATATTAATAGTTTTAAAAAAAAATGAAATAAATATTTAGAAACTACAAGAAGAAAGTACTTTTAACTAAATCCTATATAAAATCAGTTAACAAAGACTTAACAGTTGAACAAGACCCTTTAAGTATAAAACATATATACATATATTATAGAAATAAAATTTGAGTAAGTCAGTTATTAAAACTGATTCATCCATTACAATAAAGATTAATACTCAATTGAAAATTCTAGTGAAAAGAATAAAAATATATTGAAAAAACTAACAGTTTTTATTATATTCATAAGCGATAATACAAAGTAATGACTTACAAACTTCTCTAGTAGTCATATTAGGTTTTACAGGCAGCGTCTTGTAGCGAATGTCTCCACTACTCTCCTCAGGAAACAAGATCTTCATGCAACTCTGCAGATCACCAACACTCGGTAAACGTATTTTTTCCTCAGGCTGAAAATTCAAAAATTGTTACTGAGCTATGAAATATATCAATACTTTAGAAAAGTGCTTTTATTTCTAACATATATAGTACTCATATCATCAACTGTGTTACTGCCAACTAGGGGTGAGACTGGATATTCAAGTAAAATTAACAATATATATATATATATAAAGAGAGAGAGAGTATTAGCAATAGTTTGGCAAAAGTATACATTTGTTTCTTGTAGACTCAATTCACTCTCCAAGTTGGTCGAGAGCTGATAAACAGAGTGTATTCTGTAAACTTTTTTTTTTGTTGCTGTTTCATTTTTGATTACATTTGTATTCATATGGTTGTCATCTTCAATTTTGAAGCCTATGTTTACATTTTACTAATCTGGTACACTCGTTTTGAAATGAGCCAAAAAACAAGTTCATTTTTCTTTTCCTGTACTAAAGAAAGCTGGATGAATCTAGTTCAGCTATAGTTAGTGAAGATGAGTATCAGATAATGTAAACTTCAAGTAATGCAATAAAGAATTAGAAGATTGCAGAATGTGATGCAAAGATTACCGATATATCACCATGTGTACATGTTAATGATAGTGACATACTCAGATTTATTGAACTGCCTGATAGTAAAAAGAATGAAACTTGGCTATGCAGTGTATGAAAATGTTGGAGTGCTTGGAGTTGAAAAAACAAATGGGTCTGCAAATCTGAAAATAAATGGGCCAATATCAAAATTACCCACAATGAAGATACACAAAAACAACAATTAACATCTTTATCTAAGAAAATATTTTACCGTAAAGAAAGTTCAGCCCATAAAGCTGTTTTGAAATTGGTTTTAGAAGCACAAAAGGAGGCACTAAAAATATATGTATAAAAGTTATGGCTTACCACCAAGAACTAATTGCCAAGATATTTCGAACAGCCTACAAAGTTGCCAATAAAAACCATTCATTCAATGATTTTGATCACACAGTGGCATACAAGCATTGTTAAAAGATATGTTCCTGTCAATTCTTAACTGGCACTGTGCCAATCATAGATTAGACCTCTCCATTGCAGATGCTGTACAAGGTGTTTGAAGAATAAACAGATTTAAATCTTTCATGGATAAATTATGTGTATTGTACCATGCATCACCAAAATATTCAAGGTAACTACAAATCTGTGCAAGTCTCCTTGAAGTTCAACTATTGGATGCTTCAACCGTCATATCAGTTTCAGTAGTGTAGGAAGACTATGAAGCTTTAGTAAGTTATTTTAAGGAAGCTAAAGATGACCAAAGATGTGAAAGAAATAAGCATGTATGCGAGTCTTCTTGAGAAAATAACATTGGCTGAATTTGTTTTTGACCTTGGATTGATGTGAGATGCACTGCAATAATTATAGGAGTTTAGCCTTGATCTTCAGTCTTGACACGTTAATTTGTACACAGTCTACCAAAATATATATAAAAAAAAGTACAAGGTTTTCGAAGAAGGAATCCTGAAACATACTACAATCATTCCATCACTGCTGGACAGATTGGAATATAAAAATGTCCCTCTTCAAAAAAGATAAAATCACTAATTCACCCATAAATCTGGGATAACTCATTCCATAACTTAATTTTTAATTAAAATAAACAAGAAAATTAAATTTATACTTTCCATTTAGAGAAAAAGAGTTGGCTTTAATAAAATACATTTTTATAGAAAAAACAAACAAATATATGAAACTCATAAAAACTAGTCACTGTTCCACTTATACCTTTTACTGCTATTAAGTATTTTCATTTCTAATGAGACCAGTTTGAATATTAAACATGCACCAAAAGTGTTTAAATATTTTTTTCACAGTTTTGGATTTCGTTTAAAAAAATTTAAATGTCCACTAAAAAACAAAAAATATTCCTTTTAAAAACATGTACAATGTTCTTACCAAAGCAATTATTTGCCAGCAAAAACACAAAATTACATAAAAAGATGTTACAAAAAATAACCAGTAGATTAAAAAATGTTTTACCTGAAATAATCATTATCATAGACTTATGATTGACTATCAGTATTTAAAGACTATGAACATTTTAAACTTGTTCAAAACAAGTTTCTTCCTTCGAGATATTCAAAATATTCATGTCATTAAAATTACTATACTGCTTCAGTTGCTGTAATATTTCAACTTCTTTGAGCTTTGTCACTTTTCAGTCTATGACATCTTTATGGAGTAACTAGTATTTAAAAAAATAAATTGGTCAGCTTCCCACGGATAACTTTAATATTAATTAAGATATCTGTAAAAAATGCTTCTTACTTGTTTTATTGGACTGAAAAATGAAATAGCAGGTTTTCTCAGAATCCTTTTGGATTCAAGCTGCAACTGCTTAATGGCATGAACAGCACCACTGAGAGTGGTAAGGTAGTATCCACCCTCTCCCGAGTGCCAGGAACTGTGTAACAATCCCCACATGTAATTAGCTTCAATCTCCGCAGAGATGAGCTCACACTGTGCAAGTACATAGATGAATATTGGAAGAAAGTCTAAGAAAAATTCAAAAAAGTTATCACAGTTGATTTTTTTCTATCCTTATAATATTTTCACTTAACAGTTGTATACTGTAACCATTACTGATTCTTTAAACAAGTTAAACAAATGAATGAAGAGTAACAAGTGGCTTTGCAGTAGAAATATATGTGAATATCTAATTAACAGCAATTTCATCTACAGGAGTGAAACACTATGAGGCTATACTCAATTAGTTTGACTTAAGTATAGTTATAGTTAAACAAAACTACTATTACAAATTTTCTGTGTAATATAAACATTGTTTAGAAAACAGTGAACAACTAGACAAGTGTTAAATGTTAGTTTTAAATGTATAAGCTTCACAGTTTAGAATATTGTCAACAGCTAGACAAGTGTTAAATGTTAGTTTTAAATGTATAAGCTTCACAGTTTAGAATATTGTCAACAGCTAGACAAGTGTTAAATGTTAGTTTTAAATGTATAAGCTTCACAGTTTAGAATATTGTCAACAGCTAGACAAGTGTTAAATGTTAGTTTTAAATGTATAAGCTTCACAGTTTAGAATATTGTCAACAGCTAGACAAGTGTTAAGTGTGTTGATATTACACAACCTAAAGTTTATTATACAGTTAACAGAAAAATATTCAGTGTGTTGATTTACAATGATCTGCTATCTTCAATGTTTGTGGAATATCTATAAGTCAGGCAAGTGTTTGGTCACATTAGTAGCATCATTGAATGTTCTGCAGTTGATTACTATCACAGTTTGAAGTAAGTTCAACATTCAGGCACTTGTTCAGCAATATTTATACTGCAAGTTCATGTTTTTTTATGATCAACAGACCTTATGTTTAGAATGTGGAGCATTAATTTAGTAATAATGTGTGTAAAATTACTACATAATAAAACTGGAATTGATGTCACATTTTTACTAGCCCAACACAAGTTCCCAGTAAAAATAGCAGACAACAGTATTTTAAATATGTTTTGTTTACTGCATGCTGCTGTAGCTACAGTCATAGTTTGGAACATAACCATCACCTATGGGCAAGTGCTCACTAATATTTATAATACTAATTTATGATCTGTGGTTACTGTCAAAGTCTGAAGTATAGTCAACAGATGGGCAAGTGCTCACTAATATTTATAATAACAGTTTATGTTTTGTGGTTACTGTACAAGTCTGAAGTATAGTCAACAGATGGGCAAGTGTTGAGTTTATGTTCTGTAATTATTGTCAAAGTCTGAAGAATAGTCAGCAGTTGGGCAAGTATCTGGTAATATTAGCAACATTATGTTCCAAGGATGCTAAGGAATCTAAAATCTGTTTAATTTCTTGTTCTAACATCAATAAAAACTGTAGTTCAGGAATAGCAAAAGCAAACCAAAAACTATTTCTACACACCTGTTTCTGGAATAAAATTGACCAGAACATATTGAACAGAATAATAACAAAAGACTTTATTAATATATTAAACAAACACGGCTTACCATCAGCACCAAGGGAAGCATGGTCATTTCCTTGAGATTTTCTATTACCATGTACCTATCAGAAAATAAACATTCTTTCAAATGATGATCAACAATCCATAAAACCTAAAAGTTATGAAGAGTTCACACAGAATAAAAACCTAAAGGTCTTCTGTTTTGTGTTCTGGTGATAGTAAATGTTACTGTCAAGACTTACTATCAAGCAGTTTATTTTGCTGTTATTCACAATGATCTTCACATAATATCAACACATCTTTTAAAATTAAATAGTAAAGCAGCTATTGGCATAATATTTTTTAATACATTATTTATGGTTAAGAAAGGGCTTGTTATACTATTTTTGTGTAAAGCTACACAAGGAAGTCAACAGCACCCACCAAAAACTCTTGGGTTGCTCTTGTTTAACCGAATAGTAGGTTTTAACAGTCAGTCACTCTTGTAGTGTGAAGCACATTTATACAGCATTAGAACATGAACAATGAACACCCAAATTCACAGTTCAAGCATGTTAATCACTAGCCCACCTCTGGCCCTATGGTTAAATAGAAGGCTTCTTTATTTGTACACTGTAAAAATGTACAACTGTACTGAACAATAAACATTAAGCTCTAAGAAAGTTATTTTATGATTGCAAATGCAGGACATAGTTTTAAAATAAATCAATAATAAAGTAATTCTTGATCTCATTATAACAAGATAAACAAAAATAATTAAATAAACAACAGCTTACATTATTGCAAATACTGGACATTGCTCCAAGTAAGTTTTCAAGTTTTCTTAAGGGAGAATGTTCATTTTCCATACGCTTAAAATAAGTCTTTACAATGTCAAGGCCAGTTGAGTCTGGTGGCTGCAATTCATCCTGAAAATACAATGTTGAATATGGATGTTAAAGTTGATATTAAATATTAAAAAAACACATCATGAAATACATTTACAAGTGTTTTCAGACTGCTGAAACAATACTAGAAATCATTTTATCCATGAAGCTTGACTTAGGATTTTAGAACATATAAATTCACTTAACTGATGTATTTGCTTAGCCTAAACAATTAAATCTCTTACTTTAGGTTTTATAAATGCATTTTGAAATAACAAAAAATCATGAATTACTATATCAATACCACAGAATTCCATTACAATTTATCAGGCATAGTAACTAAGCTGTATTTGGGTCTAAAAAAACATGATATATTTTCTAGTGGATCAGTATCTTTAAAGCACAGTCATATTTTGGTTAAATAGAAAAGACAAGAGGTTCTTATTTTATACTTTTGCTTTTATTGACCTTTCAGCTGCACCTAGCATTATAGAAGTTGCAATGACACGGTGCACATACAGTGATGTTATTATATCCAATAGTATAAAACTGGCCATTATAAAGTGACCTGTCTAAGCTTTGTTCTAGTGGATCAGTATTTTTAAAACACAATCATATTTTGGTTATCATACATTACATATTTATATATATTATTACTATTTACAAAGAAATTCTTAAATTTCAGTTATTTTTCTTAAAACATTGAACAGTAAATAAAGAAATATAGAAAACAATTATCTCTTCTACTTACGAACTTTGTACTTATTTGTCGCTTGCTGTAATTTGCCAAATTTCACATGTGGAGGATGTAAACCAATAGATTTAATATATACATTTTGAAATAACAAAAAATCATAAATTACTATATCAATACCACAGAATTCCATTAAAATTTATCAGGCATAGTAACTAAGCTGTATTTGGGTCTAAAAAAACATGATATTTCAAACATTTTCACTTACCTCTTCCTTCCCAGATTACAGACAAAAAGAAAAAAATCATGGAGACTTTCCACCTTTTAGAGCTAGAAAACCAGGGAAATTCTGAGCTTTTGATTGGTTATAAAGCCATGAAGGAATGAAGCAGGTGTACATAAAGAAGTATTTTCAAAAATGAAAGAAGTGGGCAGGGGGCCACTGCATTTGATTCACTGAGATATAGTCACATCTCAGTAAATAGAAAAGACAGGAGGTTCTTATTTTATACTTTAGCTTGTCAGTATTGATAATTTGAGTTTTTAATTTGTAAGAAACTATAGACTGTATTTGGACATCACAAACATCTAATTTGAACCAAAGCTGCATTCAACATATCACGTTACACACAAAAATCAATATTTAAGATAATATTTTTTAAAATTTACTTTTAAATTAATAAATTTACTATTGTATAATATAAAATTTGAATTATATTCTATAATTTGATACCAAACCTATTGACTAATGTTCATAAAATAGTAGTTCAATAAAATTTTGAATGTAAGTCTACAATCATAATGACATGCTCTTTGACCCCTGACCATAGGAACACCCATTGTGAGAAGACTAACATCCAACAACAATCTCGAAAATAGTCATCCAATTTCCTCTTAACATCATTCAACATTACATTCTACCACACCAAAAAACAAACAAATACATATGCCTATCACCCTTTCCAATAACTAATACTGCTTTAACTGGAGTTGGGTCTCAGTTCTTCCATATCATAACCCTTTCAGGACTGATGGATGTCATCGATATCCCTTGATTTTTTCTTTCCCACAGTGAGAATATTTAACCAATTCCCATGAATCTTAGTAGAAACTTAACATCTCGGTTCAGTTAAAAAAAATGTAATTAAAAAAAAAGAAGAAATTAACATAATAATGCATGTTATCATTTGAATTTTTGTGTTATCTACATTTTAATTATTTTGCTTCAAAGGAAATCTTTCAAAAAAAATAATGCAGTTTTCATGCACATGATCCACATGCCTTGAAAAATCTCGACTTTAGAAGCAGTTCACTCTTAGCCACATAAGCTGGCAATATACATGAATATGTAGTTGCTAAGTCCACGTGTTTGACCTATCTGATATCTAAATTCTGTAGCTCCTTTGTCTGGGAAACAGTTATAAATTTTTCACCTCCTATACTTAGCCTTGAGATCTACAGCTTATATGTAGTTAGTTGACACAAGTGTATATAGCATTATAAAGAGCTCAGTTCACACTGTACTCCATCAACAATTAATTTGAAATTGGCATACATTTTTCATATTGAAGTAGATGTTGTCTGCTTACAGTGGTTTCTTACTTATATATGCTGTAGTTAAAGAGACAGTTAAATTGTAATTAGTCTTACTCTATATCTCAGTTAATTATGTATTATGCACGTTTTAATCATATTTGAACAGTTTAATGATTTTTTATAAGTTTAACTTGACACCAGCATTGTGAAAAGATATAAACAAGATGATGTGTATAAGCATCATCTTGTTTTGGCAATGAGTGTCTGTGGGGAGTCAACTAAAATAACTTCATAAAGCCCCATTAGCATCAGTTGATGTAATCAGTATAAATGATAATAGACAACGAATTTGAAAATGAAATAAAAAATAAACTATAAGTGAAAAGATAAAGACATGAAATTATGCATATAAGAAAAATATGACTATTCCAGTGGATTTCTATGAAGAGTTGAAAGTAGAAATACAGTAGAGAAGATGATTGTCATTTATGAGGTTCTAGTGATTGTGCAAATCAAATGTGAAACTGTATAATCAAAAATAGTAATTTTTATACTTCATATACAAATCACTTCTCCAATGTCCAAATCCAAAACTTAATGAAATAATGAGCTCTTATTAGAATTAGTAAATACAGTAAAGATTAAATATTTTATTATTCTGAAACTACATACTTTTAAGAAGGTTTTTGTCAAATTTCAAACATTTTCATTCATTAATTTTGTTTTTGTAACAAAATGTGATGATAGAGGCATTATCATCTGTGATAACAAATTCAAGAGTCAAAGGGTTATGTGTCATTCACTTTTGCATTCATATAAATTTAAAAGTACCATTGTACAATTAGCCAATAGGAATACTAGGTTTCCATGTAAGCTAGTAAACAAACACACATACTGACCGATACACGCTGTTCTTTTAACTCTATCGTCCCAGGTATCCTTTACTGCTCATGAAAAAGCTTTTAGTGTCTTACATTCAAAATTACATAACACTACTTTTTGTTTATGTTACACCAATTAGAATACCATAAAATCTTAGCTAATAATCCATCTTTTAATAGTATACAAGTTTTAAATTTTCAATTCTACAAGGGAATATTTAAAAAAATCCTGAATTTCCACTATCTAATTTAGCTATTTTATCCATCACTCCTCAAAAATGTATGAAAATTAAATGTAAATTACTCTCTATAAAACCGTTATTGCTCAGACAAACCATAATTTTTATAGCCTTCAATTTTGTTTGTTTACAGAGTTATCAAATAGAAAATCAGACCCCTCCTGCCACATCCTCTCTTTCACAATTCATTGATAGTTCTCTCTTACATTTCATTATGTATTACCTATAACCAATAGAAAGTCAAGGTTTTCATCTAGTGTGACCCACGTGACATTTATACTACTTTTTGTTTGTGGGAAAGTTAACAACTAACTTGGATGAATTTGTAATGGCTTTTGTCACATAGTTAGAAAATCAAGAACAATTTTGAGAGGTAAGTGAATTTGTCTACTTTTTGCATGTTATTAGTCTATATTCTTTGGTGCATCATTTAATTAAATAAAAATTGTTAAGTGCATTACTATCTATGGTATAAAAAGTAAGGGTTAACTCTCTTCGAAACTCGACAGCAAGAATAAAAAAGATTAGGTAAGTACTTTATTTGTTGTTTTTCATATTTATTCTTTATTTATTATTGTAAAAGTAACTAATATCTCAAAATATGGATCTTTTTAAGTTATTTAAGACGAGATTAGGTAAATAAGTAATAATAATATAATTAAAACGATTCATGAGGCATGCACGCGAGCAGCTCATGGGTAATGTAATTCAATAGCATAATGTGAGCTGCTCATTCCCCGAGTGATTTACAACTAATAATGGCTTGGATAGTAATTAGACATGGTTCAAAGGGCAATAAAACAATACAATTTAATTACAAATAGATGTATAATGTTATGAACTTAGAGCGATTTAGGATAAATGAATGTAGTTTCATGTTAAAATCTGAAGTCATTCTAGAAAGAAAAAAAAAAGTTAATTTAGGTTTATTTCGATTTGTTTTTTTTTTAGGGTTACAAGGTTGGTCGATTTAACCAATCCCATTTTGAGAAGGACAGAGAAAATAAAAGATAAACTATAAAGTTTTATTGTTAAAAAACGTTTGAAATGCATTTAGGAGGTTTTAGGGATTACACAAAGGAAATTTGAGATTTTTGAAATGAGGAGAAATATTTTTAATTTTAACATGAAAATTACTTTGCACATGGACTATTCAAAACATATACTCTATATATTCATGGACAAATCTTTATTTTATTAAAAATACTTCACTAACAAATACAAGTTTTTGTATGTGAAAGACTCGTAATATTAACTGAAAGACTGCCAAATTTCATGAAGATATACCCACTATATTGAGAGTTATAAGTATTAAATGTATTACGACCTTAAACGAGTACAAAAAGGTCACGTGATCAGTCGAGTTGACTGAGCCAATATTAAATGTGTTAATTACATTGATAAATGATTGAGATAATAATCATCAACTTTAAAACTACTTTTAAGAACAATATTCATCAATCAAAGAATCAGAAAGTATCACAAAACTAAACACTTTAAAAATACCCCAAAACAGACAAAAACGTTTATTCAAACAACACAGTAAATTACTTAAAGTGATACTAGTTTACTTGAAACTTGTTTAAGCCTAGCAATAATATTACATAAACTGTTTAATTTTCTATGTTAGCACTTTTAGATACTTAAAGTTAATTATAATCTTCTTGGTTCAATTGGTACAGTTTTATGAAATTGATTTAATAGGTTAATATTAAAATTTCTTTTATACATTATTCTCTATTAATCATGTCCAAGTTTTTGAGGTTTTATCAAGCACAAATTACACAATTATTTTACCATTTAGACAGAAAAACTGTAAAACATTTTTTGCACGAATTTACTTATATAAAATGTTTTCTCAAAATATGTTCCAACTTATTCTTCAATATGAACTCGGATGGCCTCAATAATTTGCTGTTAAAAATTACAAAGAACAGTATTTAATGTTGAACATCACATACAGTATAATTAACTGAGTTGAGCTTATGACACACAAAATTGATACATTATTTTATGGTTGAATCTCAAAAGAAAGGCTATATTTTAAAATGTAGGTTTAGTGCAACACCACATACTGCCTAATTTAGTTGGTGTAATTTTGTTTTTGAATCACAGTATGAGTTGCAGAATTTTGTCACGAATTCCATCGACATTAGATGAATTAATAAATTTCAAAAAACGAATTAACTACGTGTATTATTGGTCAGTTTTTATCCCCAAAATGTATCTAAACCAATTTTACCTACCCGAATTCCAAGTTCTTGGGGCGTTTTAGTTTTAGCATACTTTATACTTTCTGTAAGTAACTGCAAAGAGCCATCTCTGAAAATATAAAAACAATGAAGTACAGTAAACAATTTGGGACAAAAAAATTCTAGAAATGTTCTACCTGTAACATAAGCTACATAAATTTCATTTGTAATTAAAGTCTTCTATAGAATATTATCAATGAAAGAACATTAGTCCAGATTCACAAAAAAATGCATTAATAGAAAAAAAAATTAAAGACTGAAATGTGTATATTTGACATGTCATCATCTTTGAATATTAATAAGTTTTATCCCTAAAACTGCTTCCAACTTGCTTGTTTTTCATTACCATCTCAAAAATTTTACTTATTTTAAAAAACAAGCCTCAGAAATCTACTTGAAAAAACTTTTAATACTTAAAGAAATCGTCTATTCCAGCAATTTTTTTTTCATATATATGTTGTAACAATCTATTCAAAACAATTAAAAGAAAATCTGAGTTTGTAATAAAATTTATTATAAAATAATAATATCCACTCTTTCAGTTAATTTTCATACAAATCAGGCATCTCATGATTAGTTGTGATCTGAAATGCAAATGATTGCTATTCAGTCTCATTTGTCATGTGGTTTTTTACAGTTCATGACCTTTCATTTCACTATGTTGGACAGCAGGGATAGTCTAGAAATAATGTTGCATGCTCAAAAATCACTGTTACTATGGTCCCAAGTTAATTTTTAACCAATCATCTGAAAGAGACATTTCTAATGTATCTTTAGTATCTAGTCACTTGAAGGAATGAGACTTGTTTCAAAAGAGCATCACATATGTGCTCCATCAGACTGAAGTTTTAGTGAACATGAATGCCACTCTATTTGGTCATTTTCTTCTTCTTCAAGAAATGTGTTGACTAATGCAGCAAAATGGATTAGGTGTTATCACTTATTCGACAATTCTTATAACTTCTCATATCACACTGACACCATTGCTAAGTGCATAATATTCCTGTATTAATAATGTGGTGGATTTGGCTCTAGATTCTTTCTCAATGGGTATAAGCCTATTATCTGGATGTAAGGTGAAGTGGAACTCTTGAGTATATTGAATACTGCTACATGTGTCATGAATTCACTGTATGTATTCTTGGCACCACTGAAAGTGAGCTGTAAGTGCCTTGCTACGAATGGACACAGGAATGAACAAAAAAGGTGATGTATATTATTTTGTAAGTGGTTTTGGCTTGTCTTAGTTATAATATGACAAGTTCTAAATATTCTGAGCAGTGTACTAACAACTAGAGTCTAGATTTTAGTTTCAATAACATATGCTTTCTTACCTCGTGTATTCATTTTTGAAAAGTTGATATATATATTCCTTCAATGGTTTAATCACCAGCTCATGAAGAGTTTCTTCTATGATTAAATCAATATTCAAAAACTTGTCTGCTTGTAACTGAGAAGAAATGAATAAAAATTTCCAACTCAGTAATTCATTATGCATCAATTTTTCTGTTAAATTTAAATAAAGGTTTAGTATAAAGTTACCTGTGAAAAATAAATGTAAAAAAACACATTTATAAAACTAGTACTCTGGAGACATAATGACTGGATAATAAACAATATAATCACAAAGAAAAAAGTACACAACTGTTTTCACACCTGAAAAATCTTGTTTAAAACATTTTAGCCACAAACATAAAAAAAATGAATGTAAACTTCTATTCAGCATGCACATTTATATTCTAGTCAAAACATTGTAGACAGAATAAGCTTTTACACATTTCTGTAGAACTTAAAGTCAATAAGAACATCACTGTTGTGGAAAAATAAAAAGCGCAAATTATTATTCTTAGAAACATAATTAGGTATTACTTTTCTACACATTTCTAACATCTTTCTCTAGGGGTCACTTGCAATTCATTAAAATATTCAAATGTCATGCTCTCTCCCTAGAGATTATTAACACAATTAACAATAAAATTCAGTAATTATATCTTACATTCACTACAATTACACATCCTCATGTCAAAAAGAAGATATTTGTGATTCAGGTTACATGTTATGAATTTAGTGTAAAATTATTGGCTTTGATTGTAACACTTAAAAGTTTGTATTACTTAAAACTTACTTTTAGATTTCCTAACATGTTTATAATATGATTGGCAAACTGCTCAATGGACTTCCTAGCAGCATTACCCGGCACTGCCCGGGTTTTCGAAAAACAAAACAAAAACTAATCTCTCCATTTCCCTGTTCCATATTGCAATAGGTAAAAAATATTTCATGAATTTATGAAAAAAAAAAAGGATATATAGGCCGTTATGGAGGATATTTAGATTATCTTATACACATACGAGTACCTGGTGAACAGAATAAGCCTAGCTATATTCTCCCCATCCCGTCATACCTCTTCGAATAATAAAATTTTGTATGTAAATATGTATGTAATATTATGTTCAATTTGCTTGAATGTAAATTCAATATATTTTTATGTGAGACTGTATTCACATTATGACATTGATGTATGAAATATACTACAAACAAAATGCAATATTGTACTTTATAATGTATGAAGAGAAAAACATCCACTTCCAGGTATTGAACCACCCAGTGAAAATAAAAAAGTAGAATAAATTACATTTGTTGACGATTTAATCTCATTGTACACAATAAGTATTATAATTTAACTCTTTCAACATGAGCTCAGTCCCAGGGACAGACCACATGACCATTTTTACTGGTGTATAGTTTTAATATTATAACTTTTGATACACTATACGTACGTTCACAAAATTTGTTACACTACAAAAAAAAAAAGTTTTGTTAATGAACTATTTTTGCTAAGAATTTGTTTGTGAATACATCGGATCCTTTTTTACTAGTCCAAGAGCAAAGTGATTTTTATGTAAAGATTAAAAATAATTCTCATTGTTTCAAAAATCTCAACCTGAAATATGAAACTTTTTTATTGTAAAACTTTATATTTTATCTGTTATTACCTCTACCCTAATAGTATATTTTATTCTTCAGCCAGTATACAAATCATCAAAATATAATGAAGAGTTGTAAAATCAAATGAAAAAAAAAAGTGTCTGTGCCCTATTTTCTTGATTATTATTCATGAAATTTCAAAGTACTTCTCTTGAGAGTTTCAACTGCTAAGCATTTCACATTTATTTTACTGTCTATGACTGAAGTAGAAATCTGCTAAAAATAAAGCAACATATTGCCACTTGTTTCAGTAGACTGTTTACACGACACCATAATACGATACCTTTGAAAGCAACAATGCATGTACGAAGAGATAGCCGACTTGACCTCTGCTCCGAGAACAGGATTTCTAATGTATCAGATTATATATCTTACAGTGTTTACAAGGAAAATTAACTACAGTAATCACACCACTGCACTTAGAATCAGTGAAAATGTTTATGCTGACAACAGGATGTGGAATTTATTGACTTATGTATGTATCCTAAATTGTTTACAACAAGTATTCTACAGAGCAATAAAACTGCACTTTGAATCTGTCAAAACTTTTATTATATGGTGTGGTGCCGATACAATAAACACTGCAATTCTTGGAATATTGTTAATCCTTCTGGGATGTTAAAAGTTTAAAGGTATACTGTAGAGGGTACAAAAATCTTATTGATGCACATGGTTGTGAAATCCTACTTCTCTTTCAGCAAACTTATTCATCAACCAATAAACATTCAGGTTTCAAATCTGGTTATTGCTTTGCAAGCATTCAAATTCATTCAAGCACTCTAACTTTAGCTATTTCTCTACAATTTGTTGAAAGATGTAGACGAGTTGTTACGAATTGAATATATTCTGCTAGAAACATATTCCTCATTACTGATTTTTACCTAGAAGTAAGTAATTATTATTTACAACACATCTGGAATCTTTGTTCATTAGTTTTAGTACATAGTTGTTGACCAAAGTCCATTGTATCTGTTTCTTTATTTTAGCATAAAATATATTGCTTCTGAAATTTATGATACTGATCACAGAATATATACATATTAAGAATTAATACACGTCACATAATACATATAATAATTCTATACAACGGAGAATATACAATGCATAATGTAATATATATGTAATGTTTTTCCTTCTAGGAACAGAAGCTAAAGAAAAATTGAAAGTTAAGTTCCAGGAATTGAGAAAGAAGAAGATTCTCAACATGGATGAGGAGGAGATGCAGTTTTTACTGGATGTATCTTTCTCTTTAGATGAAAGGGCAGTCTGTCAGGGGAATCAGCAGCTGAGGAAGCTGATGCTTCAGTTGCAATGCCTCTGACAGAATCAATGTATAAAACAAGATGGCCTCAGGTTGAACTAGCTCTTCTTGATTCTGTCTTATGGACAGATATTAAAGAAAAAATGAGAGAGATGAAAGGGTGCATTTCAATATAAGAACATAGTTTAGCTAGAAGAAAATAATAACCTTTTGGATACCAAAATCTTCTTCTTACATTAGA